AAAAGAAATGCTATGTGACTTAAAACGGATATAGAACACTGGTTCCAGGCTTATATATATCTTCCAAACCCAACATGCTTGCTTTTAGGGAACGTGTAGTGGTTTATTTATTCATTATGCTTGGTACTAAAAAATAAACATTTAATATTATTATTTTTTTTAGGTAAATGTGAAATATTTAGAGATGCACCGATATTTCGGCCGCCAAAACGTATCTGCCGAAAATTGCACTTTTGGCAAAATGCCGAAAGTGCCATTTTTTTCGCTAAAATAGCGTTGCATCTGTGCCTGCTTGCCCGTTGGGTGCTGCTCTGTGTCCCAGTGGGAAGGAGAGAAACTGTCACAGGAGGCCGAGCGGTGCGGGAAGTGAGCGTCTCATCTCCCGCCACCTCCCAGCCTCCTGTGACAAATCAGGAGAGCGGCGGTGTGGGGGCGGAGACAGCTCTCAGACCTTAAGTAAATGGTGTGCTGGTGACATTTCTACAATTTAGCTCTCAAACCTGTCACAGGAGGCCAGCCGGTAGGTGCAGGGGAGGAGTCAGGTCGAGATCTCCGCAATGCCAATCCAGAATGGAGAGCGGATACAAACACTCAGTGATCGCTGAGTGTTTGTCAATAATTGAGGACAGAGTATGTTTTACTCTGTCCTCAATTATGAATGAATGGGAAGTGATCTACATCCCTTCCTGTTCATTCATGATTGTGGATATAGAAAACACACTATGTGCTCAAGTTATGAATGAGCAGGAATACTCAGTATACAGGCTTCCTGTTCATTTATAACAGGGGCCGCAGAAAAAGAGATTGAGGACTTTGTGTTCTCAATCCTCTTTTTTTCTATTTTAAAAGGGAAATATCAGGGGTCTGTTTAGACCCCTAATATTTCCCCGAAGCCCCTAAAAGTAAAGTAAAAAATATTTTAATAAAAATGAAATATAAAAAATCAAAAAGTTTGAGAAAAATAAATAATAAAATATGTTTAAAAATTTAAAAAAGTGAGGAAAAAAAAAAACAGTTTCGGTCAGCCTTTTTTTTTTTTTTCATTTCTGTTTTGTTTCGATTTTGAAATTTTCATTTCGATGCACCTCTAGAAATATTGGTTAATTCTTTCATCTTTATCATATGCAGCAGGCAGATGAGCTCTCTCTACAAGTTCTATGCTGCTTAAAGGATCTTCCTCTCCATCTGCTTTGCTGAAATTTGACCTGAATGACTCGGAGGAGAGGAATGCCCCTCTCTCCTCCTCAAAACTTGCTAAAGTACACACAGCCTAGATGTGTCTGTAAGAACACAACTGGAACCCTAAAGTCTTGCCACTATAATGAGCAAACGTAACCACTTCCTTCCTATCAAAGGTAGATCCGCCCCTCCTGCTCTTTCCATTAGCACATCACTGTGCCACTGGCGAATAGGAAGCTGTGACGGGGCAGGTTATACTTCAGAAAATACCAAGAAGAGTTGTTAGCCACCACTCACACTTGCATAGTGCGACATCGCAGGTCACGTTATTGTGCATGTGTCGTCCATAGGGGAGCCCATAACAGCTGTGCAAGTCGAATTTTTAAAAGGAGAGGTCAGCAATGGCGGCCTTCATATTTCGTATTTGACACCTTTTCTTTCAATTGGAACTGGAGCCAGAATCCCCAGTTAATGTTTACATTGTTATATTATGTGCACTTTTTTTTTTTTTCCCATTGTGAACAGCTGCAAGTACCTGCACACTGGAGGTTACAATTTACAAATCGGATCCCTGGAGCTCAGAGCATATTTCTAAATGTTAGTTGGCGGGTTTTCCATCTTACCTCTCACCCAGCATAGTAAAGATAAAGCCAGACTTTTAGTCAGCCTGGATGTCAAGGACAACCCTGCCTTTCCTCTGACTGTAGTGCCAATACTCTCTAAACACGTCGGTGGCCAGAGGGAATGGTTAGAAGTACACATGAGGGTATAGCTGTTGACTTTGATCAAAAGTAATACTTTGCATATTAAGAACACCTGTGTTTAGACTGCTTTAGGATGCATGTAAAACAGTTGTTTAACCCCTGTGAGACTGACGACGTACAGTGTTCTTAAGAACTTTATTAAAATGTTACAAGTGACATTTCATTAAGTTCTGTGGGCTCACCACAGTACGATGGCGTTGTCTCACTGCGGTGTGCTTAAAAAAAAAAAAAGTACTGCATGCACCAACAGAATGCAGTGGTGTGAACTGTCACTACCCATGACAAGGCAAATTGCAACACAGATGGGGTAACCAAGCCCTAAACGTCTTTAACCCCTTCGTGACTGACGACGTACAGTGTACTTCGCCAGCATCGGGATTATTAAGGTAAGATTCACTTTAAAGCAATGGTTCTCAACCTTGTAACCTCAGGACCCACATTTGTTCTTGGTCATTAAGTGGTGACCCAAGTCGCACTGCAATGTAAAGCAAGGCATTGGGGTACCGCACGTTCCGGTGTGGGCGTACGAACTTTGAGTGGGAGGTGCGTTTGGGGTACTATTCAAATGAATGGCAACACAACACGCCTCCCACACCAGAATGCATGGTAGGTGCGATTGCGTGATATAGTGCGTTAACGCACTGTACCAGTGTGAACGGGCCCTCAAAAACACTGACTGACACATTCTCACACACAGTTTTTTTACGGTGCACCCAGTCTCCCTACCTTACGAGAACTAGTTTGGGCTGCTGTGCTTTGACGGAGCTCTATCCATATGTGCATTGCTTGTACAGCTCCCTCACATGCCCTGTAGAGGTGGCGGGAGCCAGAATGTGACATCACTCCGGTCCAGGCACCTCTACAGGGCATGTGAGGGAGCTATAAGCAATGCATGTATGGATGGAGCTCCCTTGCGTCCATAACCCCAGCCCACCCCATCTCAAGCTGACACTCGGCACCGGGCAGCCTATTTTGAATGGCTGCTTGGCGCATGAGCCGTCAGTGCTGCACTAGGGGGAGGTAGAAAAGTGGAAGGCATGCGGCGACCCACTGAACACGGGGTCGTGACCCACTTTTGGGTCACGACCCACCAGAGAGACCAAGGCTTTAAAGCATGATTTCCAATACACTGCTATGACACATTGTAAAATGTAAGACATGTTTACTGATTTAAACACAAAAAAATTGGCCCAACTTTCTGTGACCTGAAAGTGAACCTGCGTCCAGATAATCCACACTAAAGTATTTATATATTTTGAACAGGCAATAAAAGCACTTTATAGAGCCCCTGTTCATCTATGTAGCTATAATCATTGTGGAGAAATACATTTTCAGACTTCACAGCACAGGCACTGCTGATTTATATATAGAGACTATTTTGGCAGGCTACCAGTCTTCTATTGCAAACAAACAGCGATTGGGAACCAACTCTAATCTGAGTTTAGTGTGTTTGTTGTGCTCTTTGAGAAAATGTGGGAGTAAATAGCTTCCTTTAAGGCTGGGTTCCCACCTAGGCGTTATCGAATATGCGCGTTTCGTGCTGCGCGTCTTTACAGCGATTCGCGGTAAAAAAAAGTGCGACAAACGCGCCTTTCAGAGGGCTACCTGGCTGTATCCCAATGGATACGCGAGGCAAATACGCCCCAAAGAAGTTCCTGTACTTCTTTGGGCGCAGGGCATTTTGCAGCGCGTTCCTACGCCCTGTAAAACGCCCAGGTGGGAACCATGCCCATAGGCAATCATTGGTTTTCACATGTTGAGCGTTTAACAGAGCGCAGGAACGCGCTGTAAAACGCCCAGGTGTGAACCAGGCCTAAAAGCAGCCAGACGGATCAGGTGTGGCTTATTTTAAATCTCTGTTACTGCTTGTTCAGAGTGTCTAAATGGTTCAATGTCCATAGTCAGGGCACAGGTGTACTTTAAGTGAATGTGGAGCCTGAAGAAAACAAACTTCTTGTTTATTTGCCTAGTGACTTACAATTAAACTCACTGGTCTGGAACCTCAGGTTTGCTGTTGTCCTATTTTAATTAGACTTTAGTACCCATAAATGTTGACCAAGCAAACCTCATTTCACAAAAGTGTCCCACTTGCCTGCTTCAGGGATCAATAACCCTCTCTATGCCTAAGAACTAGATGAGTAAAAGTATAGCACATGGTTTCAAGTCGAATGCTAGCTGTTTATAATTCAATTTTTTCAGTTAATTTAGCTGAATTGACTTGTGTAGTTAATGTAAATCACTTTTAGTAGCTTTGAGAGGGAAACAATTACCATTCAATGCCACAGAAATAGATGCAAACGTCTTGGCTTTCTTAATTTGCACTGTCTTACACTTAACATAAAAATAGGGAAAGGGGGACATGCTTCACTACTTTTTCATTATTGGACTGATCCTATTCTCTAGTAGCATACATTGTCTGGTATATTGAGAGGCGATAACCAGCCATAAAAATCCAGTTATAAAGACTAATACTTTAGGGTGCGATTCCAAGGTGCACCATGCTGGACATTTCTGGTTTACAGACACATGAATGGCAGTCACCTTATGCAAAAATTAACTGAAATATTATTTCTGTGTGCCTGAACAGATGCATAGTATTATAATTGTACTGTAGACGTGATAGCAGTTAAATAGGATTTTTGGATTACTTATAACTGTATTGCATAAAATTGTTACATTTTTACATCTTGCCAAAACAGAGTTGGGAGAATGTTTTTGCCGAATTTCAGTCCACCTATCTCATATAAGTATATCGTAAATTTTTACTTCTATGCATTTTTAGTCTACAAAAGCACCTTAGAACAGTAAACAACAACCCC